TTGTACGCTGACAACAAGGCCATGATCCTCCTGTGTCGAGAGCCTCGACTGGAGAGCAGAGTGAAGCATATTGACGTGAGGTACTTCCTTCTGCGAGAGCTACAGCGACGCGGCCAGGCACGCCTGGACTTTGTGGCCTCAGAGGCCAACACTGCAGACGTCTTCACCAAGGCCCTGGCGCTTGGTGACCACCACAGGTTCTGTGTGCAGTTGGGGCTTGTTGAGGTAGGCCCTCGGTTGCTGTAGACTTGCTGTTTGCTCTGCTTGTTGTGCTTTGCTATATATATCCTAGTGAACTCTTGAACTGGCCTTGTGGCCGCTTGCTTGTGCTCGGAATTTGTGTGGTGTCCTTGAGATCCACCCTGAGCTTGCTTTGCTTCTTGCATTGACTGGTCTTGTGACCGTTTGTTCACCCTGCTTGCTTTGATGCCCCTCACTTAGCCTATGGGGGTGTGTCAAATGTTATTATAGGTTCTTAGGCTACAGTGAGTAGCACTCTAGGGAGTACAACACTTTTAGGGTTGCTATTTGTATCCCTTGTTTCCCTAGTTCACACATTCCGTTGTTCGCTAACTTTGAGAGAAACCTACCGTATCAGAGTGCGTGCGTTAGTACCATGTGTTGATGCTACTGAATTACCGTATCCTAAAACTGTGAGAATCTTCAGCCAAATGTCTCGTTCCACAACCGGTGTTGCCCTCCTTGCAGCGCAGCGCATACTACTGCTAGCAATGTGATGTGCAGTCCTAGATTAGAGTACCGTAGTCGCCTTGACTCATGCAGCCAGCCTTGACCTGCCCTTGGCTATGCGGCGAGCTAGCACCTTGCGACCGCCACGGCTCTTCTTTCTGCGTACGAGGGATGGAAGGGAAGAGGAGGAGGTGAGAGGTGGGCAAATGCGAGCACGCTCAACGAGGGCACTGTTCAGTGTGTATTCTGTCACCGTCACTCATTCCCGCGCTCCGTCTCCGTTCTTTCACCACATGCATGCTCACACACACCGTTCTCAATCTGTGCATGCCCGTCAAGCGAGCCAAGAAGCACTGTTGCAGCAGAGGGCCGTGGTAGAGAGCAGGTAACCAATGCCTTGCACACCACACCCTACATGATCGGGCCGGGTCGACTAACCCCAAACACTCTGAATGATTAAAGGGTTAACAGTCCCACAGCGACAACGGGTGCAAGCGAGCGAACCTGGACGCAGCACGCACCGGGAGAGGAAGCCGTGCTTGCGCTTGCGGCGAATGGTGCTGGGCTGATACGTGCGCTTGGTGTGTGCCAAGAGCGGTGCTGGCGCTGATGGGCCGGAGATGGGGTCCTCATCCCTGGATGGGGCGAAAGGGCATGCATGCGGGCACATCAAGCAAACGCATGCGGGCACATCAAGCATGCACATGCAGACACGCACATCCACACATACCCACCGGTATAAATCCAGTTTAAAACAAAACAACAAAAAAACATCAAGAAAAAACAAGAGAATGAATGAACGAAAGGAACGACCGCAAAGAAAGGAATAACCTAGAAAACAAGGAGCAGGGTGCAGGGTGTGCGTGAGATCAACTCACGTGGTGACAGTGGAAGAAGGGGCGCGGATGGTATCAGCCGCGGGAAGAGAAGGGTCGGCTATCTCGTGCTCCTGTGGGCCCGCCTGCCTGTCCGCCTCCATAGCTGGCTCCTCTTGTGCCTCCTCGTATTCCTCACTATCAGCGTTACTGTATGCTCCCTGCACGTCCCAATCCACTGCGTAGCCCAGGGCTGGTGAGCGCGAGCAGCCAAGGGAGGAGAAGGAGCAGAGGGAGCAGAGGGAGGAGAGGGAGGAGAAGGAGCAGAGGGAGGAGAGGGAGCAGAGGGAGCAGAGGGAGCAGAGGGAGGAGACGGAGCAGAGGGAGCAGAGGGAGGAGATGAGTGGCTCGGAATTTCTCAAACGAGCCTGGTGAACAGGTTGTGTGCCCTCTGCGCGTCCAGGTGCGCTGCATGGGCCACGCCTGGTGGGATGGAGAGTTGCGAAGGAGTCTGTGCGGGGACGTGTCGGGGGGGGGGGGGGGGGGGGGGGGGGGGGGGGCGGGGGGGGGCGAAGTACAGTGATGAGGGATGATGAAGGGTGAGCAGCGGTGATGAGGCGAGGGGCCAGAACAACGAGTAGCCTGGATACTCCCTATTCCCCTGAATATTTCCTCTTCCCTCTTCCCTCTTCCCTCTTCCCTCTTCCCTCTTCCCCTCCCAGTACCATTAACTCCCCCTAGACACTCTCACACCCACCAAGCACCTCTTCCCTCCCCCCCCTTCCCTCCTTTTCACCCCCATTTCCCCACGCACACACTGCCCACCCAGCCCCCCCAAACGCACACACCATCCCTCCCATTCCCACCTCCCCTCCCTTTTCCCCCGTCCCCTTCCATCCCCCCCTTTCCCCTCCTCTCCCCCTTCCCCCCCCACCCCCAACCCACTCGAGTACAGAATTTCCAGGTGCCCAGCCGGCGCCCCTTCCCCTTTCTACCCCTCCCCTTCCCCTCCAATCCCCCTCCCCCTCCCCCCCCACGCACTCGAGTACAAGAGGTCGGGGTGGCCAGCGGGCGCAACGAGCGCGAGGGTGCGTTCGAGGTTGCTCTTGCCGTCCACGCGCCCGTCGCCCACGCTCAGCTGCCACAGCAGCCGCACGGCCTGCATCTCCACGTGCTCGTCCAGCGGAAGCCGCTCCCCCTGCAGCGCCATCGACGCCATCCACATCTCGCTCCCGCGCCGCGTCTTCCCTTCCCACCGCGGTTTCCCCGTCACGGGATCGACGGGCGGGTACCAGTACCCCGCGCCGGGCACGAGGGGGAGCCACGCGGGAGCCTGCTCGCACGCGTACTTGGCGCTGTCGGCGCTAGCGGCGGCGGCGGCGACCGCGGGGTCGTGATCGTCGTCCCCCGCTAGCCCCATCCCCTCCTCCTCTTCCCCGTGCCCGCCCCCCCACCACGAAGCCGACGACGCGAACCCGCGCGCTGAGCCGCCGCCGCTGGACGCGGCGGGAGGTGAGCCCGACGAAGCGCCGCCGGCGCCGCTGCCGGCGGCCGGGGAACCGCCGGAGGCGGTGGATCCTGCCGCGGTGACGGCGCTGGAGAAGGCGGGGAGCGCGTTGCGCGGGGAGGTGGAGAGGTGAGAGGAGGCGGAGTGGAAGGGGCGACGGTGGGAGGGAGAGAAGGCGGAGGGTACGGGGATGGGGGCGCGGGGGGCGGAAGGTGAGGGGGAGGGACGGGGAGAGTGAGCGGAGCGTGGGATTGATGGCGGACGGGTAGCGGCGGATTGCGCAGGAGACGGGGAAGAGGCGGATGCGGAGGCATAAGATGGGGAAGGAGAGAGAACGGACGGGGCCAACGAAGGAAGGTAGGCGGTGGGAGGCTGAGAGCGAAAGGCGGCGGAGATTCCGGAGAGGGGGCGATTGGCTGGGGATGCAGCGCGAGGGATGCGAGTGGCGGAGGGGATGAGAGGCGGGGGAGCGAGCGGAAGCGCGTCCATGGGGGAAGAGGGGAACTCGTGATGGGAAAAACTATCGGGGTGGACCGATGTGCCGCTGCTGCCGCCGCCGCTGCTGCTACTGCTGATGTCGATGCTGCTAATGCTGCTGGCACATGCGTTTATGGCCGTGTTGGTGCCGCTGTTGCCGCTGCTGCTGCTGCAGCCGCTGCTGCTGATCGGTCGGGTGCTGGTGGAAACGCCACGAGAAAAGAAGGACTCCGCATGGGCTCGGCTTGGCCTACCGGTCGAGGGGACTGTCGTGCCTGCGGTTGCGGCGACGGCGGGGATCGCGGCGGGTGTGTTGGCGAGGGATTTGAGGGTGGAGGTGGAGCGACGGGAGAGGAACCGAGCTGCCATGGTGATAAAGGTGTCGGTGCTGGTACAAGTGTTGGCTATATCGCGGATTCAACGAATGATTCAGATCCACGAATGTGGTGGACAGAGCGGCGAGTAGCAGGGCACGGAAAGAGGGAAATAGGAACGAAAGGACTTGGCTAGTGCATTCTAGGGCGTGGATGGACGGCTGCGATTCACCTAGAGAGGCATGAACGTTTTGGCGAGCTGATCGCAATACACGACGGGGTGAAAGAGCGCTGATTCGACGGTAGCCGAATTTGCGAGCTTGAATGAGCCTAACCACGCTCCGAAAGCGGCAGCGGGTTAGGACTAAAGGTGATGGAAGCAATGTTGAAGAATGGCTGGGATGGGCCGAAAAAAAGCACAAGAGGGCGGAAAGAGGGGGATGGGGAAGAAAACCTCTCGAAATTGCTATTACGAATCATTACGTGGAATTTGGTATATTAGTTTGACGGCAGAGCCCCGTGTATCGCGTATTGCTCGTCTGGGAGTGCCACCACGTTGGCTGTAACCCTGTGTTCGCAAGTCACTTTCATCGTGAAATTCGTTTAGCTGGTGGAAGCGCCAGCATAATCGAGGTTTCCGAACCCCATAAATTACATCACCCTTCTCGGAAGCTGAACGTATCGGCGCGGAGCGAAGGAACCCCTGTTCAGCAGCTATCTGTCAAGGGCTCTGCCGCCGAAGAAGGCACACCCAAGGGAGCTCACCCACTCTCCCCCTATCCCCCTTCCCCTCCCCCTCCCTCTCCCCTCCCCTCCCCTTCCCCTCTCAATCCATCCCTCCCCCTCCCCCTCTCTTCCCCCTTTCATCCCCCCGCAGTCGTCAATAGTCTGCTTACTACGGGTACCTGAAGCTTTGTATTCCCCAGCGCAGCGCACCGCAGCACAGCTGCACCTAACCTAATTCCTTTCACGTGGTGGACCTTGTTCTAAGTATTTTCTGCCTGTGCTTTCAGATCTGCACAGCGGTTTGGGGTGCCGTGCTGCCTGTACTTTGTTCCGTTTATATAAAAAGACCGTTCCGCCCTCTCGGTAGATATAGATAGATCGCGATTGACGAAGTTCCTCGCTTTCCGGTTCCACTTGTTTGTGTTTTTTACCGTGCGGTGGAAGCTTCTGATCGATTAACTGCAGAGCGCCATGGCCGAGGCGGCAATCGAGCTGAACGGAAGGTAATATAGCGGATTTGCCGAATTTTATCGTGTCTTAGAGCTAGTGTCTGACACGAAGAATCAAGGATTGGATTGGTAATAATGGATACTTCGTGATTTTTTTTGTTTTGCTGGGTACGACTTGCGAAGTGTGGTGAATTCGGTCCAGCTTTGGGTGCACCTTTCGACTCGACGAACTTTAACACTGTTGCTGGTTTATTTCAAATTCCAGGTCACATAACTACGTAGAAACGTCTTTGGCTGTGCATGTTGCCCTTTCCTTCAAATTTTCCTTTTCCCTGCTTGTCCGTCTTCCGTTCCTGTCCTCTTCCTTTCCCAACTATCTTGCTCCGATCAGATCTTCAGCCCGTGGCGACAAGAGGAGACGAGATCAAGATCGATCTCGCTCGCGCGAGAGGGGATTCGATCGCAACGCTGACCGAGACCGGGAAGCGGACAGATACCGCGACCGCGACTCGTCCCGACGAGTACGATCCAGGTCCAAAAGCCCAGACCGTGCTTTGCGGCGTCACCGGTCGCGCGATAGAAGCAGAGATCGGAGCCGCGATAGAGTCCGAGACAGGAGCAGGGAGCGAGGGAGGGAGCGGAGCAGGGAGAGGAGCAGAGAGAGAGGAGTGCGGCATGGGTCCTTAGATCGACACGAGCGAGATCGGGATTCGAAGCATAGGAGCCGGCGGGATGAGCACGGGCGACTACGAGACGACGACCGGCATCGGCGGAGCGACGACAGGGAGAGGAGTGAGAGGAGCCGGGATAAGGACAAACAGTCGGAGCACCGGCGATCCGAGCAACGGTTAGTGACCTTCCCCGTTTGCTCACCGCAGTTCCGTCCTCTTTTGATTCGCTCCTTCTCGTTCTCGTTGTCTCTCGACTTCGTTCTCGTTTTTTTCTTCTTCTTCTTTTTCGTTGTTCCTTTCTCACATCCCTGTGCCATGTGCGCGTCGTGTGCGTCGATGGCGGCTGAACGGCAGGTCGGAGGAGGGGGAGGAGGAAGACGCGGAGCTAGACGCGGATATAGAGATTAAGATCGGCGAGGAGGAGAACGACGTGGATAAGGTGCTGGAGGAGAGTCGCCGGCGGCGCCAGGCGATTCTCGAGAAGTTCAAGGCACAGAAAGCCGATGCGAAGCAAGCAGGTGGGTGCTGGAGGAGAGCGTGGAAGGGGGCGGGGTGTGTGTATGTTGGGGAAGGAGAGAGGGAGGATGAAAGGGGAGGGGGGCGTGAGTGCGTTCGTGGGTGCGTGAGTGCGTGCATGCGTGGGTGGCTGGTTGTTCTCTCATGTGTGGAAACACGTGTGCGGAGTGCTGGGTTTCCTGTCACTGCCGTTTCGTTTCGTTTTCTTTCTTTCTTTCTTTCCTCCTTTGTGCCTGTACGACACTTAACGAGCTCTCTCTCTCTCTCTCTCTCTCTCTCTCTCTCTCTCTCTCTCTCTCTCTCTCTCTCTCTCTCTCTCTCTCTTTCTCTCTCCTGCTCTCGTCGTCTCCGTGGCTGGCAGATAACCCCGCGGCTGCAAGCTCCAAGGATGGCGCATCTCCCTCCAAGGGCGACCAGAGGTTTGGCTTGGCCAATGGTGCACTTTCCACGGCCCTGCATTCTTCCTCCACCCCCGCTGATGCTGATGCTGATGCTGTTGCTGCCACTGGTAATGGCACTGTCCCTACTGCTGCTGCCTCTCTTGGCCAGACAGATGCACGTGCACATGCGTCCAAGACCGCCAACGATGCCATCTTCCCTGTGTTCTCTGGCGACGTCGCCAAACCCTTATCTTCCTCTGCGGCGGCGTCACCTCCCAAGGTCAGCAACGAGACGTTTGGTGGGTCTGGCGGGTGCTTTGCTTTGGCCTGTCCACAAATAGTTGGGCACTGATTGGGTTTTTTTTTTTTTTTTTCAGATAATTTGTGCCCCGGTAGTTTGTTTTCCTTTGTTTGGTGTTTTTCCTGTTTGTTTGTTGACGCTTCTCTCCGTCCTGCTGTCCGTGCGTCATGGCAGGGTGATGCCGGCACGGACATGTTTGCAGATGACATGTTCGGTGAATCCCCTGCAGCTGGAAGGAAACTGGTGAGGCCCTCTTTGCTTCTCTTCTCCTTCCCTCCCTCTCACGGTCCCCTTCCTCAAACCGCATAACCCTTGCGTCATGTGTGTAATGCTCCAAGAAGAGCGGTTCAAATACTGCTCATCCATTGCTTGTGCCCGTATATGTGCATATCTGCATATCTCCATTGTTGAACTCTCGCCTCGGGCTCGTTCGATCGCCCTTCACCCCTGCTATCAAGTCTGTGTTCCACCTGGTTCTTCCAGCTTCTTGCGGTTTTCCTGCGGTGCATAGCAACTGCTGCTGCTGCTGCTGCTGATGCTGATGCTGATGCCTCGTCCTTTGCCCCTGGGCACCACGTGCTACTCGCCCATAGTCGTGCGTGATGGTACATGAGTGAAGTGAACACCAAGCATGGCATGGCCCCCTCTCTCTCACGTTGTTATGGTTATGGCACTGGCACATCCCCTAGTTCTTCTTCCTCTCACTCTCCCTCTTGGTATTGTTCAAATCTCCCCTCCCTCCCAACTCCCTCACCCAACCCCCACTTCCCCTTCCTTCCCCCCACCCTCTTTTTCTCACGGTCGCTTTTCTCGCTGCTTTCCTCGATAGCACTCTCGGTATTCTTGCCTCGCAATCACAACACCAACGCGCCTATTCCTTCTCGCCTCTCATTCGAAGATAGCTCACGCTCTAATTTATTGCCTTCCTGCATGCAATCCCAGCAGGGGAAGTTTGACGGTGCAGCAAAGGAGTTTGGTCTGAACGACAACTGGGATGACGTGGAAGGCTACTACTGTAAGCTCCCTTGACTCCCATACACTCGGACTCTTGTAGTAGTCTTGGAGTTTTGTAGTGTGAGTGAAACGTCTGAAAGTTTCTCGAGTTGTAAGTTGTCTATCCACACCCTTGTGAGTATTAAGCCGAAGCAATCTAGCCAGTCTACGTCCAACTTATATTTCTCAGTCTGTGTTCCATCTAAACCAACTCTATTCGCTTCCCCCTCCCCCCAACCCTAACCCCCACTCCCGCTCTCCCCCCTTGGCCGCGCCTACCACCTCTCCCCCACTCCCTCCTTTCGAGCGCGGCAGTGTCGCGCGTGGGCGAGGTGCTGGACGGGCGGTACGAGATAGCAGCAACACAGGGCAGGGGGGTGTTCTCCACGGTGCTCAAGGCGTGGGACCTCAAGGAGGCGCGCCGGGAGGTGGCCATCAAGATCATCCGCAACAACGAGACCATGTCAGTCAGTCACCCTTCTCCTGAGTTTCATGCCCTTTTTTTCCCCCTTCTTGAGTGTGAGGGCACTGTTTTTTTTCCTGGCCTTGTGGCTGCTGCTGCTGCTGCTGCTGCTGCTGCTGCTGCTGCTGCTGCTGCTGCTGCTGCTGCTGCTGCTGCTGCTGCTGCCCAAAGGTTCCTGTCTACTTACTTTAGCTTAGTGGCTCAGAATATCACCACTTGCTTCTTTTCCATGTGTTACCTGCTTCGCTCCCCCATTCTCCCCCCTCCTCTCCCTCTCCTCTCCCCCCTCCTCTCCCCACGCGTCTCCCCCCACATCCCGCCCCCGCCACCAGGTTCAAAGCAGGGCAGCAGGAGCTGGTGATCCTGCGCAAGATCGCAGGGGCGGACCCGGACGACCGGCGGCACTGCATTCGCCTCATCTCGTCCTTCCAGTACCGCGGGCACCTGTGCCTGGTGTTCGAGAACATGCACATGAACCTGCGCGAGGTGCTCAAGAAGTTTGGGCGCAACATCGGCATCAATTTGAGTGCTGTGAGGGCGTATGCCACGCAGCTGTTCCTTTCGTTGAAGCACCTGCGCAATTGCGGCATTCTGCACTGCGACATCAAGCCCGATAACATGCTCGTGAGTGGCGTCGCGTCTGCGTGTGGTGTGGTGTGGTGTGATGTGATGTGATGTGATGACCGGGGTGGTGGTGGTGGTGGTGTGTGCTTTTCTTGCGTTGCATCAAACTGGCATGTGTCCTGCCTGCCCTACCCTTCCTCCCCGCCTCCCCGATCCGCCACCCTCCCTCGTCTCCAAACCTCTTCCATTTTTCCGGTTTGCATCTCATTTTACCATGTCATATCCTATCCTGTAATAGCATCGCACTGCACGCTGTTCAGCCTCTCTCCATCCACCTCCCTGCGTCAACGTATCCTCAAACGGCGTGCATTGCTTGCATGTCATTGGTGCTGGTGCGGGTGTGCATGCAGGTGAACGAGAGCAAGAACGTGCTCAAGCTAGCAGACTTTGGGTCGGCCATGTTCTCAGGAGACAACGAGATCACTCCATACCTCGTCAGCCGCTTCTACCGAGCCCCAGAGATCAGTACGCCTCTCCTCTTCCCCTTCTCTCTTTCACCCCCCCTCCCCCGCTTTCCCTTACCCTTCCCACTCGCCCGACAAAGCCTTGGCTCGTCTGCTTTGCTGCGCTCCTCCTTGTCCTCCTGGTTCGAGTGTCTCTGAGTCCATTCCTCGCTCCCACACTCGTGGCATTTGCATCTGTCCTATTCTGCTAGTCCACGATGCTGCATGCTGCACGTGGTAATGCGCCACAGCACTGCCAGGCTGCCTCTCTCCGTATAAACCTGCGCCTCTCTCCCTTCTCCTGCCCTGCACCCCCTGTCACGTCTTCCCCCTCTCCCCTTTCTCCCCTGGTCTCCATTCTCCTCACTCCCCCTCTCCCCCTCTCTCCTTTCCCCCTCTCCCGTTCAATCCTCTCCCGCTCTACCCCTTCCATCCCTCCTCTCCCTTTCTCCCTCGCTCCCCTCGCATCAGTGCAGGGCCTGCCATACGACCACCCGCTGGACATGTGGTTAGTGGGGGGCTGCCTCTAAGATCTCTATTGAGTCGACTCGAAGGTCACTTCTTCATCCTCTCCTCCCCGCCCCCCCCTCCCTTCTCTCCCTTCCGCTCCCCTCTCATCAGTGCTGGGCCTGCCATACGACCACCCGCTGGACATGTGGTCAGTGGGGTGCTGCCTGTATGAGCTCTACTCGGGCAAGATGCTCTTCCCGGGCCGCACCAACAACGACATGATCCGCCTGCACATTGAACTCAAGGGCACCTTCCCCAAGAAGCTGCTTAAAAAGGTGTGCACTGCGGTGCTGCGAGATGCGTGTATGTGGTGGGAAGATTGTGTCGCCCCTTTGCATCACCACTACCTAGCAAAACTCTCGTTTCTTTACCTCTCTCCGACTCCTTTTCCGCTGATCACTGCCTTCTATCTCCCGTCTTGCCTTTCCTGTGCCCGCCTCTCCCCCATGTCTGCTGCTGTTTCTGTCTGTCTATCTGTCTGTCGAGCCACAGGCTGCATTCCTGGAGCAGCACTTTGATGCGGACTTCAACTTCTGTGCAATCGAAGAGGACCCTGTCACCAAGAAGGTCAGCCTCTTTGCTTTGTTTCGTTGCTTGTGCTGCCTAGTTTCTACTGTTGTACAGCATGCAGTTTCAGCCTCCCCTCCCGACCACACTGACACGCTGTCACTTGTCACTTTCCCTCGTGGCCTCCACTGCCCTCCCCAATACCTTTCCCAATCTTTCCTGTCTTTCCTTTCTTTCCCCTCTTTTTTCTCCCCTTCTTTCCGCTCCTCTTCTCCCTCCCGTTCTCCTCCCCTTCTCCCTGCCGTTTCTCTTCCCCACCCATACATGGGTGGGTTGGTTGCAGCCGATGAGGCGAGTGATGGCAAATGTGAAGCCAAAGGACATTGGCACTCTCTTGGCCGGCTCTTCAGACGACGACGCCCGTTCACTCGCCGCCTTCCGGGACCTGCTAGATAAAATCTTCTGCCTGGACCCGGACAAGAGGCTCACAGTGGCACAGGCACTGTCACATCCATTCATTGTCGGCAGGTGAAGGGACTTCAGATGGTTTATGCAGGTTGCTGTTGTGCATGAGGCTGCGGTGGCATGAGCTGCGGTGTGAATCATGTCTGAATTTGGCAGTAACTAACTTTTCCTAACACCTGGCTTTTGACAATCTATCAAGCACTGGTTTACATGTCTGATGCTAACAACCACAATAATACTATTACTGGTGGAATATACTGCTGTTAAAATATAGGCTAGACAGTTGTGTTATGTTGGATGTCTTCATCCTTAGTTGTAATGAGTGAATACTGTTATTGTATGTGCTGCTCATGGGTTTGGAAGTCATGTAACTTTGGCAAGAAATGTCCTGCCCACCGACATATTCTCCCTATTGAAGGTGAGACGAGAGGATTAATTTGGAGTGAGGAAGACGATTTGTACTGTAGTCATGAAAAGACAACTCAGAACCAGAAATACAGGTGGTCCTACTAAGAAAATATTGTATGAACATGCGCAAGTTACTGCAAGGCCCAGGCTAAGCACAAGATACAAGAGTACCCGTCTGCAGCAGCAAGAGGAGAAAATCAGTGAAGAGGCGCAAGTCGCACATCCCCACCTTCCGCGCTTATTACACCAGCAAACACGGCTGCGCCAGCAGCCACCGAAGCCTGCGCGCAGCAATCCCCGCCATGCTTCGCATGCCAGTCGTGCAGCTGGCACGAGCGACTGCAGTAGCGAGCGTTCCAGCAGGTGGAGCACCGCCAAAACTCCAGCGCGCGCTTCTCAGGCCTGCCACACGACTCGCGGTTGCAAAAACCGAGGCCCGCGTCGCCCACAGCGTCCTTCACGCTGGCCGAATCGCCGCACGCGGTGCTCTTCTCGCACTTCTTGGCCGCCCTCGCGGCGAACCAATCCTTGACGAACACGTGGGCAGGGTGCACGGAAGTGGCGCGCAGCGACGTCTGCACGCTGGATAGAATCGGCTGCAGCTTGGCGATCGACTCGGCGGTTAGCTTGAAGCTGCCGGCCTTCAGCGCCGCCAGAAGCTTAAGCACGACTGCCGTCTTCCCCTGCAGGTGCTGCGCCTGCGAGTCCTGCGACGAATTCCGGGCTTGGCGACGCGCCTGGCGAACCTGTCGCGCAGGCCGGGCGAACCTGGTCGCCTCAAGGGGACTCGTCCACGCCGCGACGGGCGCAGCGGGCTTCTTCGGCGGGAGCGAGGCGGGCTGTCCGCAAGCGGAAGCGTCGACGCGAAAAACGAAGGGAGGCCTTGAGTTGACCCCTGCGGGAGACACGGGCATGCCGTGCTCTGTGAACGCGCCCTTGGACTCCACGCCCAACAGCGCCTGCACCGCTGACTCCTGCTCAGCGCAACCCACGGCGGCGACATTACCGAGGGAATCGAAACCGCGCATCTTCTTAGCTGCGACGCCGGTATCAGCTTCGCTCTTTCGCTTGCCGCCGGAAGCGATAAGCGACGAAAGAGAAGACACGTGTGAGGAAGATTCAGGTGAGAGCTCAGCAGCTTGCGCCTCGAGCAGCATCCTCCAGCCTTCTTGGACGTCCTGGCGCACTCCGTATCCGTCCAAGAGGCAGTGGCCTAGTTCCCGCATGGCTTCCGTGTGTCCGAGAGCCGCCGCTCTCGCGCAGAGCGCGACGCCGACTTTAATGTCCTTGCTCTGCTGGCCCAGGCCGCTGCCGTTAAAACTGAGGATGCCCGCCGCATGCAACGAGGCCGCGTGCCCCTGCCGCGCCGAGTACATTAAAAGCCGCCCGCCTTCGAATTGCGCCTCGGGGATGCAGTAGAAGAGGATCTGATGGGAGAACGAATGCAATGGGCGGGGGCGAAGGTTAGCGGGAGGTTAGCAAGAGACGATGGGGAGAAGGGTCACGGATAGCAACATGGGAATACAGGCGAAGACGGCGAGGATTAGCACATGGGTGAAAGTGCGCGGACAGGAGTAGAGGAGAGGAGAGCAAGCAGGAAGGAAGGCACGCACCATGGCGAGCATGAAGCAGGCCTCTAGACAGCCGTTCTCGCTCAGTCGTCGTAGAAACGTGAAGGCGCCGATGCTCCACTGCCTCGCTCGCACCGCCACGCCGCCCCTCGACGTGGAGCACAACACGTCCCTATCTTGACTCGCTCGCTTCCACCGCCGGCATCTGGATGAAGAAACGCGAAGAAACACACAAGTTAAATATACATATTGGAAAACATGGCCCGACAAATCTACACTTTCCCTGAGGGTGCATCAATAGTTGCGTTGTCTACTTACGTCATGGAGGGCGCGACGGCCTCGGCGGGGCTTTCCGCGGTGGAACTGACGGCGGCGAGTACTTTCACCAGGACCTCCTCCTGCACGCAACCATGACCACGAATAGAGAAAGGGAAAAAAAAGCAAATGAGTCATAGGTCACGACGCCACCAGGCTCTGAAAAAACACCGAGTTCGGACTATGCGTAGCTTTTGACGAGACAACTGGAAAACGAACGTACCGGAAGGCTATCTATCGTCGTGCGCTTCCGACAGGGCCCATCCGATTGACTTGATAACAGCGTCCTGTCCAGCATGCACGACGCTGAGTTGTCCGCTCGGTCAACGTCATGGTGGCTGGGGGGTGAAGCTCGAGCTAGCTCTGGTTGCGTGGCTTCCGGTAGACTCTCGTTATTATCTACTGCATCTTTTGGATCGCCTGGACTTGCAAAGGTGGAGGTAGACGCCCCCATGGGGTTAGACTTTCTACGACGCTCAAAACTGAAGGGTGCTACACCTAGCCGAAATTCCAGTAACGATTGCTTTCAGAAACAGTAAAATGGTGGAAGAGAAGCCCTTGTGGGTGGTGGTGAAGGTGAAGGCAAAACGAGGGTTTCACTTTTGGTTTGGCGGGGCAGCCGGAGGGACGCGAATTAGTCAGGTGGCTTGGGTTTGCAGCGGAGCAGAGAGGACGAGAGGAGATAGGTCCTGGTGGTTTGGAGGTTGGCCATGCGCAGCGGGTGGATGGATGGATGGGAGGGATGTGGTGGAGATTGAGTGGACATGGAAGGCGGAGAGATGTGGCGTGGCTGTTGCGTTGAGGCGAGCAGGTGGGGGGATGGGGTGGGGTGGTTGGGGAAGGGGAAGGAAGGAAACCACATCGGTTCGGTGTTCGGCAACGTAACTGGCGCGCTCTGCCACCTCCGTTGCACGTCGGCAACCTCGCGTGACCTCATGCCCGAAAGATATCGCTGGGCAGGACAAAACGTTTATATCGGGCACGACCTGGCGCGCTGTCGCGCCAACCGCCTATGATAGGCCTCGAAACTGTCTTCTGTTTGTCTATCAATCACCATCTCATCCAGTCACTGTCAGCGATTGGGTGATGTGGGGTTTGAGCCGAATCGGCCCCGAAGTGAGCTTTTGGAGGGAATTGCGTCATTCGCTTCGGATTCCACGTTACTCTTCGGTGGATGGCCCACCAAGCCTCAACTTGGCGACAAAAGTATACCGACCGCAACAGAAATCCTATTTGGCACCTTTACATACCGCTGCCATACCTTACTGCGAAAGCTGACACCAACAGAACCTGTGAATACACCTGCGGAACATGGCCGTATTTGACCATCTGCGCAGATTTACTGTATCAGGCAGACTTCGTGATTCTGATCACAAAAACCACCTGATGTCCTACCTGCGGCAGCTCGCCCCCCTGACAATGGAGATGTTGGAACATCTGCTGAGTCAGCTCACATTGTCAATCGGGAATTCTGCAAGGCAAACGGTTTGGAGCACGTGGTCACAACTCAAAACCCACGATGCACGGCTCAACTCGAACAGTAGATCTCGCTCCCAGGAGGGTTGATTTGTGGACATGAGTGCCACAAATACGAAACGGGATGCTAGTTTCGTGTTTCGTGCCACAAATAAGAAACCATCTACACGTGTATAGGCCCCCGAAGATGTAAACGAAACCCTCTACGAAACCCGAAACCCTATATATATATATGTAAAGGACAGAATGAATGACTCATGACGGCATACTCAGGGGGGAATAAAATACCAAGCCATACTCTCCGCAGTGCAACCCAGCCTAGTCTACAAAGTACACATACATATACATATACATATACATATACATATACATATACATATGTATACGTTGACACACACCCTAGGCTTCGTACGGGCCAGTGCTTAGAAAATGAGAAACATAAGTGCCGCGGCACCTGCCCCCGCTGCTGCTCCTGTGGCTCCTCCTCTGCCCTCTCCTGCTGTGGTTGCAGCTGCACCTACTGCTGCGACCAGGACTCCTGCTCTACCCTCTCCTGCTGTGGCTGCAATTGCACCTGCTGCTGCGGGCGGGACTCCTGCTCTACCCTCTCCTGCTGCGGTCGTGACTCCTCCTCTACTCTCTCCTGCTGTGGATGCAACTGCACCTGCAGCGGCAGACGTGACTCCTCCTCTACTCTCTCCTGCTGCGGCTGCAACTCCACCTGCTGCTGCTGCTGTCGTGACTCCTCCTTTACCCTCTCCTGCTGCGGCTGCAATTGCACCTGCGGCCGTGGCTCCTCCTCTACCCTCTCCTGCTGCGTCCGCAACTGCACCTGCTGTTGCGGCCGTGACTCCTCCTCTACTCTCTTCTGGCGCTGCGACTGAGACTGCTGCTGCTGCTGCTGCTACTGCTGCTGCTGTCGTGCCCTCTCAAACCGCTCCCTCTCCTCCCTCTCCAACCGGTCCAGACGCTGCACACGGGTCAGGAAACGTATATTGCGCGGTGCAGGCGTCGAAGTGCCCGTGTCTCCGGCTCCAGCACCTCCAGAACCAGAACCTCCCGCAACGACACCCCTGGTGTCTCCAGTACCTCCCGCAGGAACACCCCCAGGCTCCGCAGCGACCGGCCGCAGAGACGAACGAGGAGGAAACTGTGGGACTGACGGGAAGCCAGGGGGTGAGGCGGGGCTAGGCCGCCGAATCGAGACAGCCGTGTCCTCCACAGGAAAGGTCTCCACCCTCACACCTCCTGCACCCCCAGAGCCAGCACCACCAGGTCCAGCAGCCCCAGTACCCCC